AGTAAATAAAATTGTCAGAATTGAGTAGTGGGAACACTCGTATACTTCTAATAGTGTAGTTTCCTAGTGAGTGAGTTATTAGAATTCTGGGTTAGAGAGAGAGCAGCATACATTCTGAATGGTCGTCGGAGAAATTATTTGAGGGGCTCGAACAACATGGCGAGTAGACTCATACCATTTGATGTATGAGGCAGAAATTAAAAACTACGGGTTGATCATGCATCTATTCGTTGCGATGAGGATAGTTAGGAGGGACAGTTACGCTGTAGTAGCCACATTGAATAATTTTTCTGGTCTTGGAGCTTTGATTTGATGGTGGCGATATCTAGTTACGAATGGTCCGTGCATATGGGCCAATAGTGATTGTGCTTCAGAGTCGAAGTTGTTCTGGGCAGATAGCAGCTACCAATAGTAGATGAAATGAATTGATATTTTGATTATGTTAATTAGAACAGTAATCAAATGTCCTATTAAATTCAGTGAAAAGTAAATAAAATYGTAGTTGAAATATGATTGTGATTCTTATAATCATTAAATTTGTTTGGAATTTCAATTTTATCTTTGCCTCGTATCATATTCCAAGTTATTGAAAATATAATGCAAGTCAAGATCGAGGTTTTGGTATAGAAATCAAACATAGAATTTGATGAAAGATGGATTGTCGAGCAAAAAATAAAGATTAAAATAAAATAATATATCTAAAATTTTAGGAACTTAAATCAAAATGAATTATAATTTTGAAAACAAAACCATATTTAAACTCCAAATTAAAAATCAGTAGTTAATTATAAAAATCCTCCCTGCAAATAACTGAGGGTTCATATTTCTCATCATTATTGACTTGGGAATAACAATCAAATATATAGAACAACAACAAGAGGGAGAAATTTTCATTTAACATCGGAAGAACACAAAATTTACCATTTGTTATAATGTAAATAAAGAGGAAAGCTAGTAGTTTTTGGTGGTTTCCATCGGAGCAAATGGGCTGCAAGCAGTTCTTTTCTGTCCACGAGAATCTCAATAGAGCGCCTTCTAATTGCATCATGAAGAGTATCATCAGATGCTCGAAGTCGGGCCACTTTACCGTAACAAAGGCACAAAGGCGCAACAAAGCCATAAATATGTATTTCATCTCTGAACTGTTCTTGCCCAAATCTTTCCTCAAGTTCTGCTTCCAGAATAAAAGAATTCAGTACCATTTTCCTTGATGTAAAACTGAAAATTGCGCACTCTGTTTCTCAAGTTGTCTTGCAGGCCTCCGACTGGTTTGTTCAGAACTGTCAACTGCAGAAAGAAAATGATTGCCAGCAGCAAATTTGTATACATTCAATACAAACGGCAAAGAGAAAATAGTATGATCACCAGCATAACACAATATTTAAAACCATATTCGCATCGTATCTTAAACTCGAATATTGTATATAGATTAAAGTTACATCTAGAACAGCCATTGTGTACAAGCACAGTTACATGGAGAGAACCAATGAAGGCGGGGTCAAGAAAGTCTCTTATCAAAAGAAAAACTATTCTTCTAAGATAGTTATCTTGCTTGCAGAATACACAAGAATTGACATCTCTACTATACACCATACAATGACGTTATTGAGACAATAATGTCGTCAACAGCCCCTAACAAATTTTGTCACAAGTATGAAGAAAATTATATGTGAACTAAAATTAGGAAGAGTTACCAACCTGAGCTATGTTCAACTAGTTAAGACATATATCATCAATCAAAAGGTCGGAGGTTTGAATCCCTATCCYGTATGCTAAACTAAAAAAAGATCAGGACGAGTTTTTTAAAGTTGTTGCACAATTCTCGACCAAGGAAAAGATGTAGAGGGAAAATTTCAAACGTAACCTTAAAAATATAAAACCGTAGAAGTAGAAAACAAACAGGTAAATGTGAAAGTAATAAAAACAAGAAATGGCACCTGCCCATGAACGTCCTTTGCTATACCAGTGGCTAGTGGTCCTACTTTTATCAAAACATCAGCAAGGTACTCCATCTGTAGAATCCGTGGCCTCTCAGTGTCCATGTACACATCTTCGTGATTAAGTGCAATTAAGGAACAACCCTGTGGCAAGAGCAAAGTATGAACACTGGAGATGGAAATGACAAGGGATATAAGATATGTGAAGAAGAGAATAATTCAGTTAGCTTTCGGAGTCTTACAATTTCTGATGTTAAAGTGTGGCAATAATGAAGGAAGTCTAAGACATGATTTGAAGAGCCATTTGCAGCAACCTCCAAAAGAGGTATGTCATCTATCACAATGGTGACATGCTTTTTGTTCTGTTGAATTAAGGCATTCACAGCTCTCTGAATTTTGCAGTACAGACCAACAAGAACTCCTTCATCAGTTTCCTTTCCGCTTCTATCTGGTAACAGAAAAATTCGTCTCATATCAAGGATTTGATATTATGAAGAACACATAATGAAAAGGATAACAACACAATGAATTCAAAAAGATAAGAAGTGCACTGTTTTCTATTTTATACAGAAACCGAAAAATAAACTGCACTAGTTTGAAGAAAGGGGAGGGGAGAAAAAGATTAAAAGCTTTAATGAGGATAGTATACCTGGTTTTCTCACCTGAACAGCCCAGCGTTAGCATGTCAAAGAAAATGAACCTACCGCTGTCCCTTTGAGCAACTAAGTTACAGCCCTGAATAGAAAATAGTTCTGCAAATGAATACATCTCATTTTGAACACTTAATTACTGTAATTAATTGACAGAATCCTATCGAATCATATATGCAGATGAACGAGAAGAGAGACCCACCAGCCAGATTATTATTTTCAACACTAGAATTTAAAAAAATGATGGTTTACTTGCACCTACTGCCAAATATTTCGAAAGAATCTCAAACTCCCCAACTAGCTAAATTACTATTACATCAAAATCTTTATTCAAAACCAGAACACGCCACTAAAGCCAGTATATCATCCAATAATTTCACAAACGCAGTGCACTAGAAACTAAAAAGAATGCCCGTCAATCACCCATTAACAAGTTTTCTGAGCATATCATAATCATGTAATTTCTTAAAACTCGTTTAAGTTGTCAACACTGATAACAACGCCGAGGAACTGAAGCTAATCTGTTAGTCCAGTGATACAATCTTCTAAGTTTCCACCATTGTTCCTCTCACCGACAACCAAGTAAAAAAAAAACAATAGCAACTCAAACGACAATTAACATAAGTTACGCCGCCAAAACCTAAACTATAAACATCACATACAGCGATAGCGAGAGCGTACCAATTTCCGAAGCACACGATCGTAGTGGGCGAAGRACTGAGAGAATGCGATGAAGATAACGGCATTGGATGATTGAGGAGACGAAAGAGAGCGCTTGAGAAGGTGATGAAGAAGGAAAGCACCGCTGGTTTCGACGCAGTCCTCGACGAGCAACAGGCGACCAATCAGAGGCGAAGGCTTGGCCGGATCATCGAGACCTAGAGCTTCATCAAGCATATTCGAAGCCATTCGGTCCATAATCTTCGCAATTCTAGGGCGGAGAGCGGCGGAGCAGAGCAAGCAAAAAGAGAGTAGATATATTTTGGACAAATTGCAAAACGAACCCCCCAACTATATAATAATTGCTATATATTCACTCTTCAACTTTTAATTATAAAAATTAGACCCTACCACTTTCATGTGAAAAAATTGAGTTTTTTTCTTTTTATTTTTATTTTTAGTACAATTAAGTCCCATTAAGGCACTTATCTCCTTAAAAAATGAGTTCGAATCTCATTCTCATATGTTGTACTAAAAAAAATTTACTAGTAACAACTTATCTCTATACAAACCGCTATTGAATGTTCAACAACTCATTATTTAAAAAAAAAATTTCTCTATTTTCACACACATAAGATAGATCAATCTATTGCAATCAACAATCTCGATAGTTTATCTTAGTTTTTGCAATTTGCCTATAGATTTTATTTTCTCCATTTCGTTTCTCCTTAAATATAATAATTTAATCATATTTTAGTGATCAAATTATTATTGGGTTAAATTACAAGTTTGGTCTTTATAGTTTTAGCTCAATTTTAATTTAGTACTTRCAATTTTAAAATTTCAATATGATCCCTATAATTTAGCCAAATTTCACAAACTATAGAGACCAAATTCAAACTAATCACAGTCTATAGAGATGAAATTGTAATATAACCTTACTATTTTATTGGTTTCAATTTAATTTTCATTTCAGTGTTATTTGGTTATATTACGTTACATATAAAGTTACGAGAATTCGAATCCAATTATTTAAGAAATGTAAAGTTATCTTAGCCACTAAATTATTCCTATTACATCTCCTRGAATTCAACAATTGTCTTTATGTTACATTTATTTAAACAAATAGTGTATTTTATTTCAATGCAATAAAGAGATACAATGAACTAACTTTTAGAGAAAACATGTGACATGATAATTATAATTCATTCAAAGACTATTTTAGTGTCTTTCACTCTTCAATGATTTCAAGACAATAAATAGAGAATAATTTCTCTAAAATAATTGATCAGAGCTCATGAAGTATTATTTTCTATAAAATAAATGATAGAGTTCAAATGATATTTTTGATTCAATTCGAAAACAAATATGCAAACAGAAGTTTAAAATATACATTAATTTACTATTTTTTTTCAAAGAATAAACGAATAATTTAAACCAACCAAACTCAAATATTTCATGATTTGATTAGCAAAATCCCGAACCCAACCCATGGACACTCCCTCTCACAAGTTTAACAAATGGTCCATTCAACGAGTCCTCTTTTCACTTGGCAAATGTAGTGTTGATGAGAGCAAGTAACTCCCATATTTGTGCTGAGAACTACTAAAGGACCCCAAATGCAGAAGGCATATGTATGATTACAAGTTTTGCAATTCAAGCTCTGGAAAAAGTGTATACAAATGCACAACTTGAATCAAAAGAGCAAATCCAGAAGGGGGGGATGGGGGATAACTGTTCCCTAAAACGGTAAAACATCGGTAAACCGTTCTCTACGACTGTAAAATTTCGGGTGAGGTGGGACAATCCTTTAACCAGAGACCTATTTGTTTATAGATACGAAAACACCAAGCTCAATTGTACATAAAGAATCTTGTGCAAAGGTAAATAGGAAGGGGAGGGAAGGTGGAGAAGGAAATGGTTTAAAACAGGTGGTGAAGAATAAATATAAAAATTATACCAAAAAGAATAAAAGTTTTATGAGGAGATCAAAACCTGGGAGTAGAGGAGTTATCTGAGTATGCAACTGCAGCTTAAAAGAGGCGAATAAACCGACACCATCTGACGTGACTGGGTACTCGTTGATCGCCTCGGAGTGACACTGCAAACGAAATCTACAACATTGAAACATAGAGACAGCTGACGAGGGGGTTATGAAGGTTGCAACAATCTGATKATTAGATTTTGAACAACTCAGTGTCATGTTAGCTTCTTGTCAGAACCATCTTCACAGTTCTCGTCTAGAAGATCTAGGTGTTGATGAGCTACTGCGAGCGCTTTGAACTGGCTGGGTCTCGGGATCGTATTTTTGGGAAGCAAGATATGTTAGGGCCGTAACGACATCAGCAATGAGGGGTCGCATATTGGGCTGGTCCTGAACACACATTGCAGCGACTGCAAGAGCTTGGTATAAGCCCCTGACTGGGTATTGTCCTTGGAGCAATGGATCAGCCATCTGCCAGAATTTCCTCCTATCTTTAAATAAGGGTTGTGCCTGAGATGAAGAAAAGTGAGATTTTTCAGACCACTAATATTTATTACAGGACTTATAAACAACTATTAATGTAGCAAATCATATCATTTGACATAAATAATGTGGCATAAAATCTATTTTAAAATGCAGCAATATTAGATTCAGCTCGACTATCTGAACCATAATATTCCTCGAAATAAATAATAAAATCATGTCGTCTTGTAATGGAATTGGCAAAAGAAAAGGTAATTCCTAGATCTATGAGATTCAAAATTTTTAAAATAGTTAAACAGATAGGTAACAACAATAAACACCTAAATCATCATGGTTTGGTCTAGTGGTCAACAAGGGCTAATATAAATAGTCAAAGGGCTTAGAGGAAATTRGTTCAAAATCAAACCATGGTRGCTACCTACCTAGAATTTAATATCCTACCAGTTACTTTGACAACCAAATGTAGTAGGATCAGGCAGTTGTCCCATGAAATTAGTCGAGGTGCACGCAGGCTGGCCCGGACACTCACGGATATCAAAAAAAAAAAAACAATAAACACCTAAGCAAATGACAGTAGAAACAATCATGGTTCAGCTTCTTACAGGTTATGACCATTCAGAATGGACAGAAGTAAAAATATTTGCTGCCTCATGTCCATGCATTGGAACTATTGCATCTAAAAAAATGGCAATATAATGATCACTCTATCATGAATGTACATGCAAAAAAAATAAAAGTCAATTGAAAAAAGTATAAGAAACGAAGTATTTTTCATGCCCATACTCAATAGTACAACTCATAATCGTCGATGGGGGCGGCATTGATCCTGAATTCGACTTAATATCTCAGTGTACAATCAATTTGCACAAACAGGCTATAGCAGCATGCATGATGCAACAGATATTTTAGCATCTGCACGTCTGCACCTTACACCGTCTCTCCCATGTAGGACCACAAAAGCACAACGTGAATAATTATATGGCTTTCCTAGTCAAAAGAAGACATGACTTTCCGAACTAAGCACCACTGAGGTAAAACCTTCATCAAATCAGACTGCATTGCAATTTCAAGCAACTGATCATTTCAGATGTCTATGATTCACTTATGCTTTATGTCAATGAGAGTGTCGTGGTGTGCATATGCATGAGTTGTAACTGAACGTGGATGAAACACATGATCTTACCAATCCAACAGTCTTATTCGCATGAGGATGATCTCTAGAACAACATATTAATGTAACAAAGTAAAATTGGAAGGCATAATAAACTGGAAAACTAAAGATGAAATAGAAGAGATGGCTTTGTACCCATGCCACCAAATTGTGTTCCCCTGCGCCTCTTGAGTTGTCAATAGCTTTTCTGCCGGTAATAATTTCTAGCAAAACAACTCCAAAGCTAAAAACATCTGATTTTAAGGTGAGCTGGCCAGTCATTGCATATTCGGGAGCACAGTATCCATAAGTTCCCATCACTCTTGTGGACACATGAGTGTTATCCCCCACGGGGCCCAATTTAGCCAAGCCAAAATCGGATAGCTTGGGATGGTAATCTTCGTCCAGAAGGATGTTTGAGCATTTTAGATCACGATATATAACTGGGGGGTTAGCTTTGTCGTGCAAATACTCTAAGCCCTTTGCAGCACCTGCAGCTATTTTCATTCTTGTATTCCAGTCAAGCCGTTTTTTATCAGGTGGCAGATCTGGCATAAGCATTTAATGATGATATCATTACCACAAAAGAAACAAGATTAAAGAAGTATGCAAGAAGGCAAGATGACTGAAAAATGATGATAATGGTCAATAGTAGTTGTATATGCAAACCATGTAGATGGTCTTCCAAAGATCCCAATGGCATGTATTCATAAACCAAAAGTCTTTGATCACCCTCTGCACAATAGCCAATTAAATTAACAAGATTTGGGTGATGGAGTAGGCTTAACATTAGAACTTCAACAAGGAATTCCCTGTTTCCTTGTAGCCCATTTCGATCGAGTTGCTTGATGGCAACTACCTGTACTCAACAAAAGTACAAATATCAGAACCTTCCTGCACCACCCACCAACGTAAAACTCAATGCGAGTACTATTTCCAGTATGTGATGAGTGTTGAAATTCAAAGCTGTACAGCATTTTAAATAAAGGCTATCAAACAACAACAGTAAATTGCATATTTAGTGTATTTCCTTTTTTCTTTAGATTTTGTAATCTGTGCATTACGTGAATGTGAGAGACATAGGGATAGAGAGTATTACAGCTTCACTTTCCTTCCTATATAATAAGGCTGCTATAAACAATACCAAATCTTTGCCGATAACTCCATTTCTTTCTGACAGTTTCAGTCTAATATATATACATACATATACACATACACATATATATATATATTTCAACAAATTCTCAGGCTAAAAGGTTGAATATATGATTTTAGCAACTGGAAATGAACAATAACAATTTTTTGCTCAACTCCAAAATACCAATGTCAATTATTTCTCAGACTTAAAAATGGATGAACAATTTCAGCACAAATGTGAAACCAATGGAGCATTGTTATAGCTTGATTTAATCTTCTCAACTGTAACATTCAACACAAGCTGCAATAGAAACAATGGAAAGGACAAGGAGGGTGCAAAGTCATTGCTAATATGCTTACTTGTTGTCTTCATTAGCAGTTATCCAGATTACTAGTAAATGATAAACTTTCGTCTTTTTTCTTAAAGAGAGTGACGTCATGAGGGCAACAATATTGGTAAAAAAAGGTTTCCACCCAAACTCATCCAATAGAATATGATAGCCATGTTAAACATATTAGGATTGCTCAATCTTGCAGCATAGATAGCAGAGATGTCCAAAGTTAGAGTTCTTGGATGAAAGAATAAAGCAATAGACCTTACRAAAACAAACTCGACTTGAGAATGTGTATGCTGCGTGAATGTGTAGACTGTAGAGTGATCAGAGTTTAAGGCAGTAACAAACTCAATTAATATCATGTTTACTCCATTGGAGAGAAAAAGAAAAAATATAAAACTGACCTGATTTATGCTATCCAACCGTCCTTTATATACTCGACCAAAACCTCCTTCACCTAAAAGACAGTCTGCTCTAAAATACTTTGTCGCAGCTGCCAACTCTCGGAATGTGAATGTAAATGTTTGTGCTGAAATCTGATCAGAATCCCCATCTTTTAGGGCCTCGTTCTTCCCATTAAATGTCGGCTTTTCTATTAAAAAAAAAAGAAAGAATGGGTTTACAAGAAGATATTCAATAACAAATTTTGCAAAGAAGTAAAAGGAAACTTCAATAAGCATCATTGATACTTATGAACAAAAAAAAAAAAATTCTTAAAAGAAAAACAGGAAGTATTTTAAGACAGTCTGATCTGAAACAAGATGTCATCAAACAGTCCACCGACCCAAGATCAAAACATTGATGCAACAAAACATGGAAAGAAATAGTAGGTATCACCAAAGAGAAAGAAGAAGAAGAAGAGAGAGACAGAGAGGGAGAGAACCGTGGAACCGAATTAAGTTTATAACAGAGCAAGTAATCCAGGCATTATCATACACAACAAAGCAACCCAACTCGAAATGGGAATTCTAAAAATTGGGTTTTATTTAAATCACCTAACAAACATTCTCAAACTTCACTGAAAAAAAAAAAAAATACAACAACAATTCGCTACAAGAAATTAAAATTTCAAACCATTTCAAAGAGCCTCCAACAATCCTGGGTACAGCTCAAAATTCCGCGAAGCAGCTAGCTCTGACTAAATTTAAGTCGAAAACAAAATCCAACAACTCATAAACAAAAACATACTTGAAGAAGAAAAAAAACACAAAACACAAAACAAAACCTCCCATTCAAATCTTCGTAAATCCCCACAGATGGCGTTGGCATTGGCATTGGCAAYGGATTTTCCGGCCGAAGTTGAGAAACTAAACTCCAGAGCGTACATTGGCAGGAAAACTCGAGTAGAATCTCGAATTGAAGCAAATTTAAGGAAGAGAAAGTGAGAAATTGTTTAACATTGTCCATTAAATTTACCTGAAGTGGATGGGATCGGATCGTCCTCCTTGTGAAGCTGCTTGGCCTTCTTATTGGAGCTTCCAGAACAGAGAAACCATCCCATTGCGTATTCTCTCTCTACCGTAGTCCACGGAGGAAGAGAGAGAGAGAAGGTTAAAATTCAGATACAAATACAACACTCTCTGCCCAGTGTATATATTATCTTTTTTTTCCTTACCGTCGTTTTTGCATAGATGTCCTCTAATTAGACAAAATTTCAAAAACGCCCCACATTTTATTCTTTTTGCATCGAGTACACAAAAGTGCTCGCTATTCAAAACAACAAACGTCGAGGATTCGTTTGAAATATTGCTTTATTTGTTTTTGAAAAAAATCTCACCGCAAGAAAAAAAAAAGTTTGGAATTTTTTTTTTATGAATTATGTGTAGTACAAATAATACTTTTTTTTTTTCGTTTTGATTGGAGTAGTTTTTGTTTTTGTTAGGTTAAGAGAAATAATAGTTCTCTCGTTGCTTTTCAATATATGTTAAAAAGTCAATAAGAATTTTTTTTGATGAAATTTGACCAAAAAGTTCATTTAAAAAAAATAGGTTACCAAAATATGCATTTTTGCATATCTATAAAAACAGTAGTAGTAGTAGGTAGAAGTTCAATTGAAACAATTATTTAAAAGTATAATATACGAATTTTTTAATATAAACATTGTGAGGTTTTTAATTTTTAAAAGGAAAATATGATAGCATGATGGATTATTTATACCAAATTATTCCCCAGATATAATCATGGTTGGGAGCAACATGGCATAAAATCTGAGGCGCCTTGTGTAAATTTATTAGTTTGAGACCTCATTTGCAAATATTTTATGCAATTTTATCTCTTTTATATACCAATATTTACTTTTATGTGATAATCGTCAATAACGAACCTACTACCATCATAAGAATTAATGATTATTTTAACGATTAACTATGACTAACTTATATTGAATTCATTCTCTATATTAAATTGTTTATATGCTATTTAGAAAATATTTTATTTAAATTATGCTAGATTTGAAACTCCAGAAGATTCAAGTAGATTGCTCTATAAGATGTTTTTCTTCTATAGTATATTTTTGTTTTAAAATTTGGGAGGACACTCCAACAAGGAAGAATCATGGGGCTTTTGTCCATATGCTTGCTACAGTGATGAGAGAATAAGAGAAGAGAATCGAGTATTATTTGTACTATCATTCTCAATTTCATATGATATGTCTCCTCTTAACTACAAAATATATTAGAATATAACATCACGAATATAAAGTAAAAATTCAAGGCTACAATCCTTTGGAGAATCCAATTTTTTTAAGTCATTATATATTCAGACATGGCAAAGATGGAAGATGTCAAACCTATACTTAAATTTAAAAGAAATAATATACATTATTTAAATTTACAATAATGACTCCAACAATGCATATCTTAGGAAATAAATATATATAAATAAAATAAAAAAGGGCATAATTTATATCTACATCGAGCTATGAAATTATTGAAAGGACCGTTGGATGCACGATCTCAAAATAACAAAGGGTGATGCAACATAGGAAATAATTTATCTTTAAAAAGTATATATAGCAAAATATATATTATTTTCCTTTCAGATTTTGGACCCAAATGAATTGGTTTACCAGTGAAATGCAAAGCTTTTGACCCAACGGTAATGTCCAAAGTTCTTGAGATTACAAAATAAATAAATTTAAATAATTTTTAGGCAAGTCATATTGAACCTATATCACTTAATTTATTCTTTTAAAAAATTAATTGTACATCAAGAATAAAATGTTGTTCTTGTTCGTTGACTTTCGTGTTCTAAAACTGTCTTTTAATGAAAAAGAAAATCCTTCTCTACCCAGCAATAAATAAATAAGGCAAAAACTCTCAAGAAAATTCTTATAGAGACGTCTTGACTCACAATTTTAATAAATATTTTGTGCAAAAAAAAAAACTGAGTAATAAAAAAACTAACCTACACTTGGGTTGCACTTATGAAAATACAAGTTTGTGTCACGTATTCTTAATTTGTATTTATGTATTTATAAAAATTTATATGCAATATAAAAAACCAGGTTTTAAACATTTGGAATTCGTAGACTCATAACTTAGCTGATAAGAAAAATATCTCTACGAAATGAAAAAAACAATTAAACCTTCAACTTCAAAATTATCTTATCTAGATGGATAGATAAGCACAATTCTTAGTCTTAGACTCTTAGGACTTTAAATACCCAATCTACCCCCCAAGAAACATTATTAATAAAATAAAAACCTTGGTGGGGTTGGAAGGAGGCTGGCATTGGATTTGTCAAAATTGGGAACAACCAAAAAAAAAAAAAAAAATATATATATATATATATATATATATTATATTGCCTATATAATAATGCAAAACACCACTAGTACTTAACTACACCGCTAATATTTGGAAATAATTCAAAATTCAGTAAATAAACTATGCTCATTCATAATGGTTCAAACCCAATCTACTATTCCACTAGATTATTAATTGGCCAGATAATGAGAGCAAGTGGCACTGCCAACTGTTGCCAAATGGCAAGAAACAGTGTCATTCACCTGTTTTTGGTCACCAACCAGTCACAGTAAACTGACACGTGTCCACCAACTGAATGCTCCAACTTTCACTTTCAGCCGCTAACCTTTTGAATAATGAAAGAGAGCATTCAATATGTAAAGTAAGGACACCTACAAAGCAAGCCATTATGGAGATTTGAATCACAACAACATTATATTTATATTACAAAGTTGGTGTAATTTAATTCACTGACATGGGCAGAGACAGGGCTAAGATAAGAGCCTAGTGGTCTTTGTAGGCAAAATATATGCTCCTAACTTCTCTGACCTGCTATTTTGAAATGAAATCAGTAGGGAATTCTCTAGAAGGCCAGCCATTAAATGGGAGCTGTACTTGGAGAGGAAGGCATGAGATGTTTCTTAATACAAAGATTATACCATTATTATCCTGTAATGTAATCTAATAATATAACCAAACAAACAAAGAATTAACCAAAAAATTGGTTCTACCTGAGATATATTTCTATGCTAATACACAAAGGATTAACAAATCTTAGAAACTATTGATTGAGGTGGTATAGATACAAGAAAATGTGACTCCAAGATGGTGTGTATTTGAAATTTGTATATATACGATACGAGTACCATTTTTCTAGATGAGAGTTCACTCCTTGTCAAGGAGTCCGTTGCCGTTGGTGTGTTTCTGAATCTGATCAACGCCTGGATTCTGTGCCTCTTCTTCAGTGGTTTTCTTCTGGACGGAAGCTTCCTCTTCGACTGTCTTGCTTCCTTCGTTTGGGTCCTCCACATTGGATGGTTTTCCCTGTGGGGCATCGAGCAAGCATGATGTTAGATCATTCGGTTCGAAGAGAACTGAAGGGGAATTAGTTTTCGAGATCACCGAAAATGTAGCATTTCGTCACATTAAGTCCATGCATACCAATATACATTTACAGTTACGTAAAATTAATGCTAAAAGTTCATTCATCAAACAAGATGATAATTGAAAAGAATTAAATTGGTAGCTTGAGTTTAAGGAGCGGGTCCCAAACTCCTAACAACCTAATTTAATAATTTAAATAGAGAGAAAAATTTAAGTAATTGACTACAAAGGATATCATTATGGGTGGGATCTCAGTTGTGCAGCCCATGACCTATTTTTGAAAACGAAGTCTCTGTCACTTAAAAAAATGCCTACTCCATAGACTAACCCACATGACAAAGTCAATATCAAGAACACTTCCAAGAAACAAAAAAGTCAAGTTTATGGCAGGGACTAATCATAGGCAAGAAAATTTACTCGTCCAAAAAGCTATAGTTCTCCTCGATGAAATGCAAACCCACATGTAAACTAAGCAAATTGAGGGGATGGTTACGTCCAAAGGTACATACCAACTACCCTTTGACACAATAGGCTGATCCCAAGAACAATGGGACCTGTAGTGCGTTCCTTTCTCGTAAAGAGATTAAGGTTATTGTCTGAATGGACATGTTATTAGTCTCCCAAAAAAGTCGGTCTCGTCATGTTCCTCTGTGCTAAAGTTCCTGTAGCATGGAGGCTGACAAAGTCCAGTCCTAAGTGACATAGAGAAACGTAGGAAAAAAACAAAGAAAAAATAACTAGGCCGGAGCAATCATTTCCTTCTCTAAATATTAATGCATTTGTGAATGCGTGCTACATACTCATTTTTATGAAGAAATAATACTTCCATGTGCTCCTGCCCATTGGCCATTTCAAAGGAATAAAGGGCAGGTGGGGGGCAAGGGATCCGAACCTGGTTGCGTCCCTACTTATTTTTCAAGAATGAGCTCCTGATTTATATCCCAGTTAGTGCTGGTAAGTCAAACGTATGGAATCAAAAATAATCACAGATCTTTTGTAACTTTTATGACTTTTCATTTTATTCATTTAATATTTTCATTTTATTCGGTGGACCATAAGGTAGTTACTCTATTAGATCAAGAAACAAAATTCTATTAGGACTTTGGATTCTTAGTTTAATAATAGACTTTATTCAGATGTGAGGGATTTTTATTAGTAAAATATAGAATGAATTTTCCAAGTCATGAGCTCATACTTTCCTACCTCCCTCCTCATTCTTCTCCTCTCTTATCTCCGTTCATCCATAAGAAGCAATCCTGGGAGGTGCCTCGAATTGTGACATTCTCTTCCCGTTCCTCTTCATTGTAGTGATTGATGGTTTGAGCGAACCCATTTCTTGGGGGATGGAGAAGTCTAATTGGAGGTTTAAGAATGAGAAAAGACAAGATTCATCTGACATATGCAGTTCGCTAACCACCTGTCATTTTATTCTCAAGCAAGAGTCATAAACATTCCTTAATAACATCCTCCCTGTATTTGGAGTGTCAGAACATAAAATTAATAAGGATAAAAGCTCGATTGTTGGGTAAATTCTGATCCTCTGAACTTATAAGATGGGAAAATCTAGCAGAATGTAGGGCATCAAATCATCCTTCCTCTGTATGTGGGTCTACGTTTAGGTTACAACCAAAGTCCTCAATATTTGGTATTCTGTTGTGGAAAAGGTTTAAAAAGGCTCTTTTGACTTTTTTAGATTAAAAAATGTAAATCACTCCTCCTCGAAACTACAAATTTCTTGCGAACCTAAGATCGAAAATCAGAGGATGGAATCGACAAATAGAATTTGTTCTATGCCCGCAACAGAACTAACAACATCATCCTTTTCCGCAGATGCTATATACCCTCGAAGGCAATTAAAAAGGCTCTTGACTTGGAAGAGAGCTTTCTTCTTTAAGGGTTTAGACATCGATACAAGCCGTATCAAGTGACTCCCTTTCCATTTTCAGGGCTCAGACTAGATAAATTCTTGAAGGACTTATCGTGGGATGGGGGGATGGGTGAGAGATAGAGTGGAGGTTCTCATCTGAATAGTTGGAAAGTTGTGTCTAGAATAAGTGGGGAAGGAGGCTTGAAATAGGTAATTTAAGTACTTCACTCCACACTCCCTCCTCTACACAAGGTCTTTGGGTTGCCTCTTGCTATTGTTGCAGTATTTTGAAGTAATTCTTCATCCAATATTTCATGATAGAGTATGCTTCTTTGTCGAGCCTTTTTTTTGGTGCCTTTTGGTACATTTAGCTCAAAATAATAGGTGGGTCCTTGAAGGTGTAATGGGTGTTTGGTAAAATGTTAGAAATACTACATGTTCCAACTCCTTTCTTGGGTGCTTTTTAGTCTTTCTATGATTTCAATCTTCCTATATTTACCCATTAAAGTTAAGGCTATGAAGAAGCTGATAAAGGACTTCTTCATCAGGAGCGGGAAACATAGATCAAGGCATACACTTGGCTAAATGGAGGTGTGGTCCTGGACTCCTCCCTTCTCCTTCAGTATGGTGGCTTTGGTATCGGTTCTTTTTTTTTTTTTGTGAAAGAAACAATTTCATTGATATATGAAATTACATGGAGCCCATATAAGGGAGTACAAAAGCCCATAGATGGGTTACAAAAGGCACTTCCAATTGGACAGGAGGGAAGTGTAGCTATAGTAAAGAAAAGTATGAGAAGTTTTACACCATGATATAGCTTTAAACACTATAGCATCAAAAAAACGCTCAAAAATTGTGACTTGTCAATGAAGAGAAACAAAGTCCTCCTCCTTAAGTGGTTATGGAGATATACCCCATAGGACAAAGCATTGTGGAGAAGAGTGGTTGGCAACAGTGTATCAAATATAATCAGATTGCGTATAACTGAAGCTAGTTTCTGCCGTTTGATAATTTCTTTACACTCACAGATGGTCTCATTGTATTTCCTACGATACAAAATATTACTTTTGCGTGACATAATAAATTTTTCTTTTTTGGAAAAATATTGATTACGTCATGTTATTAAATTTCTCTTTCTATTTTTATTCCTATTGCATCTACACAGATTTTATTATTATTTTTTTTTCTGGGCTTGCTAACTCACTGGATTCATTTTCGGGAGGATGATTGGGCTAAACAGCTCCCGCTACAGAGTGCTATTATAGCCTATCTTCGAGAAAAAAGTGCATTTTTGGGAGGGCGTTTGGGCTGTACTGCTCCCTCATTACAAATTGATACTTATAGCCTATCTTCGAAGAAAAGTGCCTCTATTTGTGATTGATGGAATGGAGCTGAACAAGATTGGAGGTTCGAGATTGGCAGCTGAGTTGCCCTCAGAGAAAATAGATTTTGTTGAATTAGGAGCTAGCCAGGACAAGGAGGTTTGTTCACTTCTAAATCAGCTTTCAGCAAGCTTACAGAGACCTCGCCAAAGCTAAAGACTACATATGTTAACAAAGTTTGAAGTTTGATGTCCCCAAGAAGGTTAAAGATGTTTCTATGGTCCCTTGCCTAAAAATTCAAGAGAAGCTCCTAAATAAATTCCCCAATTTGCCTATGTCCCCCCCTTTTGCCAGTTGGTTTCAGTTGTTTAAGTTTTTGCTCTTCAAGGGGGAATCCTTAGATCACATCTTCCTTCGATGTTCTTTTGCTTACAGGGGCAGGTCTTTCATTTTGAGTTCACTTGGCATATCCTTATTTCAAATTTTACCTATATTCAAAGCCCTCACGGGCTGGAGATTTAAGGGTAAAGCTTAGGTTCTTTGAAATTGTCTACAAGATCTGTTCAGCGGCTTCTTAGGAAGGGGAGAAATAAGATTTCAAAAGAAAAAAAAAACATACTTAGATTCTATCATAATATAATACAGTTCACATCTTCATGTAGAGCTCCCAGCACATAAAATTCTTCTGTAATCATAGTTTTATGATCAACCTTAACTGGAAGACTCTTCTTTTCTGGCTCTTTTGGGCAAGGGTTTTCACTTCCCCAGCCCTAGGGCCTCCTTTTTTCTGCTGTTTTCTTTGTAATACAGTCACTTATCCAAAGAGAGAAATATTTTTTTAATTGTCAACAATTAGAATCCTTTCATGTAATTATATTTTGGCAGCTCCTGTGTTTGGTGGTGGCCTGTGATCTGTGTTCTTGGGGATGGTCTGCGTTTTTGTATCCCTTCATTGAAAGTAATTTACTGAGGGAAAATTGTGAATTCTATATTTTATTTTATTTTTTAAACCTTTTAAGAATTAAAAAAGACATTTCTACTTTTCAACAATTATTGAAAAGATGTATGATAATTTTTTTTGCGAAAGAAACAATTTCATTGATAACATGAAACTCCAAAGTCCCATAGAGGGATTACATGAAGCACTTCCAATTGGCTATAAGGGAAGAGTAACTATAGCGATGGAAAAGAGGAGAGCCTTTACACCATGTAATAACTAGATAGACTATAGCATCAAAAAGTCGCTCATAAGGGAGAAATTTGGCATTGAAAGTTCTTTGATTTCTTTCTCTCCAAAGAAGCCAAAAGAAAGCTCGAACGAAATTCATCCAGAGAAGCTTTTTTTCCTTTTTAAAAGGGTGGCCTGCAAGTGTGGATGCAATGAGGGGAGGATCTGTTGGCAATACCGTTGACCAACCAAAAGCGTTGAGGATGAAGTCCCAGAAAACTGATGCATATGGACATGTGACAAAAAGATGCTGCTGGGTCTCCAAATTGGATTGACAGATTGAGCACCATTGGGGGGATAAAGCCATATGTGGCAGTCTTCTTTGAAGTTTATCATTAGTGTTTATGGCACAGTAACTGAGCTCCCAAAGAAAGAATTTCACCTTTTTTGGGTAGAAATCTTTCCAAATGACGTCAGCAAGATGGGTTGAGGGGTCCAGGTTGTGGTGTGTTAAGTCCTTAATCAGGGAATTGGTGGAAAAGATAGCTTCTAATTTCCATACCATGATGTCAGCTCTTGTGGACAAATGGACAGCAGAGAGCTGCAGGTTGAGAAACACCCAGTCAGCAATTTCTTTATCCTTTAAATGTCTTCTAAGACCCAAATTCAAGCAGCTAGATTCTTCCTCCCATAGATCCCTTATGGATGCCTCTTTCTTCAAGGATAAGGCAAAGAGAAGGGGCATTTGTTGTTCCAAGGTTTCAGCAGTCAACCAAGGAGCTTTCCAAAAAGGAATGTTGCGACCATCACCGATTTTGTAGGCCAGCCGATCAAAAACGAGGTTTTGTGACTTGATAATTGCTTTCCATGGCCCTCTACTAGAAGGAAGGGAGGTTTGGATTGGTTTAAGGTTCCATGTGGATCTTCCATATTTAGCTTCAATCACCCTTTTCCAAAGAGCCGACCAAAGAGCCGATCCCTCTTTTATGTACCTCCAAACCCATTTCGCATGAAGAGCCCTGTTTTTCTGCCTCATGCTTGTCATTCCCAAACCCCCATCAAGGATTGGCCTTTGAACAATGTCCCATTTGACCAAGTGCAGTCCATTGTTTTCACTATGACCCTTCCAAAGAAAGTTTCTGATGATCTTATCTAGGGATAGAGCAACTTTTGATGGCATAGGGAAGAGAGAGAGATAGTAGGTGGGGGAGGTTTGATAATGTTGCTTGAATGGGAAAAGATGTATGATAATTGATAAGCAATTTTTAAATATTTAGTGAATATTTAATACAAATTTATCACATCATATTTATTTATCATACAACTTTAAGGTTGAGGTTGATTAAGAGATTTCCTAAAATATTAGAATATTATTAAAGATGATGAAAATTGTCTTCAAACTCGCAACTCTATAGAAGTCCATAAATTTGCAGTAAATGGAAATTAGGTACTTCAAGGAGGAAATATTATAATGAGCAAAAAGACTAAACCTCTATATAAAGTAAGAGGAAATTAGGCAGTAACCTTGTTTTTATCACGCCAGCCAAACCCAAATGGTCGACCGAGCAAGCCTATTTTTCTCATAGGGAAGTCCTGCGCAGATTCTTGACTGCTACGCAATGAAGAGTCTGATGGCAATGATCTGAAAAGTAAAGCCTGATTTTAACTTAAAATGTAGATTTGATTTACAGAATAAAAATGAGTGTAAAAAATGAATAAAGATCACAAGCTCGCCCCACAACTGTAAATATAGGTTTTATAAATGAACACATTATCTTCTGCCATGCTTTTCTTTTTATCGTACTACTAACCCTAAATTATTACCACCAAATTATGGAAAATCAAGATAAAGAATATTATTATATTAATAATTTTAAAGGACACTAAAAGGAAAATCTGAAAAAGAAATGAAAAATCAATAAATTCTGAGACAAATTTAATAGAACCATAACTTCCACAATTATTTGGATTAGAAATTATATATTCCAACTTAAACAAACTAAGCTTCCAATTCATTATCAGTAACTAGAGACAGAATAGAGCCAAGGCAGCTGAAAAAGATGTGATTTTAAAGAAAGTCAATTACACACCGCGGAGAATGCACAGACCGGGGAGAAGGCTGTGCTTTGAGTTGGCCAGATTGGTACTGCAAAGTTGCCTCCAGCATTGATTCTGCCATAACTGCTCTCTTCTCCATTTCAGCAAGTGCGGTAGTAGCTTGTTCATACTTTTCCTACACAAACACAGTCATCCAAGCACAAGGTCAGCACAGCAACAATTGATCCAATTTCATAGCAAGAGTTCCGCACCGTAACCTAATACTCCAATTCTTAAATTTTAAAAAAATATAATGCTACTTTGAAGTAAACGGTATCATAATCGTATAATACAATTAAAAGATAAATAATTAGAAGACTCTAGCCTAAGGGTTTATCCCTTTAATTTGTCAAAGGCTTTGTATGTCATATAAGCAATTGGTTATAACCTTCTCAATAGCCAAACCTATTATTATTATTATTTCTTTTTAATAAGAAACCACGTTTTCATTGAGAAAAATGAAAAGAAGAACAAGAAGAGCATACAAAAAAAACAGTCCTGCAAGAGGACGCCCATTCAAGAAAATGGCTCCAATCCAAAAGAACACCCATTCAAGAAAATGGCTCCAATCCAAAAGAATAACACCTAGTTGATCATTACAAAAGGCCTCAGAGATCAAACCTACAAAGAAGTATTATATCTAATAAGATCCAACAACATCCACAGATTTTTCTACCCCTAAATATTCTTTTGTTCCTCTCCAGCCAAATACCCCACAAGGTAGCCAAGAAGCAAGCCTGCCACAAAAAGTGACCCTATCATGAAATGGAGGGGACGGCAGCACCTCCTCCATCATCGCCCTATAGCCAAACTTATTATTGTTCATAGCTTCTAAATGGAGTTTAATCCTTCTGGGATTATTCATTTTATTTTGTTCTTGAGAGGAAAATAACCTTCTCAATTGGTCGATTTCAAGATTTGTGAACTAAATTTAGGTCTCAGAACTAAATTCACCAAACTGTCCTTGTCACCAGCATCCGAGAAGAGGATGTCAACCATATGGCAAATCCTTTAGATTGTGATGCAGTAAGCTGGCCTTAAATTACCTTGAACTTCTCTTGGGTGGTAATCCTGGATCTGCATCCTTTCGGCCGTCAGAGTGACAGAAAGAAATTCTGGTAAACTTTTTAAGTGGAAAAGGTCCCTTACTCTGTAAAGTAGTGGTAGATTAACTCTTGTACAAGTGCTTCTCTCAGATAAAACCTCTCCTCCAAAGATTGCTCACCAAATTGAAAAATTGATGAGAAACTCTCTGGAAAGGTGTGATGCCAAAAGCACTATAGTCACTAGGTTAATTGGGCTACAACTAAACCTACTAATGTAACCTATACCTCAATTGAGCTATGCATTGTCAATATCAGAAAGAATATTTGCACTCTCTCATGAAGTCAATTAGAAGATTCCCCTTGGATCATAGTTTATAGGCTGATACCATGGAAGGGTAAACTATGATCCTTTCTTAGGCATATGCCCTTTTTTGTGCAAACTTTACTCAGAGGCTGAGACTAGAGAATAGTTGACAATAAGCCTCATTCATATCGTTTCTACTTAATGAACTGGACTTTGGATAATGCAGGAACTTTTTCCTGCAAATCTCTATTTTTTCTTATTAAATATCTGCTTTTTTGTCGATCCTAACTCGAGTGGATAAGGCACCTAAATACCATTCCAAATGTCAATGGTTTGATTTCTCACCTCGCAATCATTGCACTCTTAAAACTATCTGCTTTTCTAATATCCCTGAAGTGCTCAAATCCATCAATACAATGATTGAATCCATGGAATCCTCGTATAATCCTATCTCTCCAGTAGTGTACAAATTGTTATTCTAGCACAGAGAATAGTCATCATCGTTCCTCCATTTTCCCTTTGCTTTGTAAGTCTTGAAAAATAATTCTCAACTCTTTTGAGATACAATGTTGAATGTCTAGAAGTGTTCAAATAAAATACTTGAAGCTTGCCGAGTGGTGTAAGAATGGGGACAAAAGTTAAGTCCTGCTTTTCGTGATACTTTTGAGTATAGAGAAATGCATAAATTTTTCAATGATACCTCTACGTATGCAACAGAATTTATGGGGTTGTTCCATTTAAACCAGCAGGCCTGGTGGCATTAGGGCATGTGAAAAAAAGTATAGGAACTCAGAGGGATAAGTTCAAATCTCATGATAACCACCAGCCTAGGATATTAAAATCCTATCCATTTCTTGACAACAATCTAGGATACTAAAATCCGACAACAAAAATTTTGTAGGGTCGAACAGTTGTCTCATGAGATTAGTTGAGATGCATGTAAATTTTTCCACACTTACAAATATAAAAAAAAAAAAATATGATTAATTGTGTCGATATATAAAGGAAAACAGATAACTTGAAGGTGGTGCTGCAAAGAAAAAGATATCCTATTAAATCACCTAGAATTTTCTTTTTAAAAAATATACAAATACATCAGGCCTGGTGGGGTTGTTCCATTTAAACCAGCAGGCCTAGTGGCATTAGGGGATGTGAAAAAAAGTACAGGAACTCAAAAGGAATAAGTTCAAATCTCATGATAATCACTTGCCTAGGATATTAAAATCCTACCCATTTCTTGACAACAATCCAGGATACTAAAATGCTACAACAAAATTTTATAGGGTCAAACTGTTGTCTCATGAGATTAGTTGAGATGCATGTAAATTTTTTCACACTTACAAATATCAAAAAAAATATGACTAATTGTGTCGATATATGAAGGAAAACAGATAACTTGAAGGTGGTGCTGCAAAGAAAAGATATCCTATTAAATCACCTAGAATTTTCTTTTTAAAAAATATACGAATACATCAATTATGTATGACCAGCCTGGTACTCAAGACGAGTCTGTCTTTTTTTTCCCCAAAAAAGAACTTTATCACAAATCTCAGAATATGCATGTAAGCGAACTGACATTGAAGGATTGCATAATATAAAATGATTGACAGGAGACAACCTGAAGCATTTGAGCCGCATATCTTTGTGCTGCAGAGTCTTGCTCAGCAAATCTTCGAGCATCTTCAGTTAGTCTTTGCTCTTGTTCCACCCGCATCAAGACCTAAGGCAAAGCGTGGATCCTCATAAGTGAAGAAAGATAATCAAAATTACACAAAAAAGGACAATAATGAAAGAAACCTGAAGCATTGCATTTTCCTGTTCCTGTTTATCAGCGAGAGCCTGCTGAAGCTCAGCAACCTCTTGTTCCAATTGTTCAACCTGCACACCAACGGAGTTCCTCAAACAAATAGATCTCTAGCAATGTCTAAAAGTAAACACTAATGTTCTGTTTGGGTATTTTCTCTGGACCATTCTCAAATAACTGTTTTCTATTTTTCGTTAACTTGTTATTTTTATAAATTAAAAAACATAATGAATTTGTCAATATATGTTAGAAAACTATTTAACGTTGCATATTAACAATTACCATTTAAAACAACAACAAAAAAAACATACGATAACAGAAAAGAAAAGAAAAAAAAATTGATTTGTTTCTATTTTATATAATATCCTATCAAATGACTTTTATTAATGAGAAAACAATTTTTAAAAAAAACAGCAAACAAACTGCCAACTTTTTACATAACAAAAGCAAAAAACAGTTTTAGTAACAATTCATCAACTAGCTCTAAATCTCTAGTTCAGAAGGCCATGCATAGAACTAACCGTGTGAGCAATGGATGGTACTGGATATATTCCTTAATGCTTCAGGTTTGTCTTTGAACTTGAGTAAAACTTCTCTAATTGGGATTCATGTGGAGGAAGACATCCTTCAGAATATGGCCAAGAGCTTGGGCTGTAAAGTGGAGAAACTTCCGGTTTCCTACTTGGGCATTCCCCTGGGAGGTAATTTTAAGAAGAAATCGTTTTGGGAAGCTCTTATTGACAGAGTGAGGAAGAGAATTGAAAAGTGGAAGAATCTCCTTCTTTCGAAAGGGGGAAGGTTAACTCTAGCTCAGTCGGTTATTACCAGTTTACCCCTCTATTTTTTCTCTATTCTAAAAGCTCCGAAAGGGGTTGTTAAGTAGATAGAGAGGTTGACTAGAAACTTCTACAGAACGGAGGAACTCTTAAAAGGGGCTTGCACCCACCTGGTAAATTGGGGGAAAACAGGCCTCCCCTTGCAGTGTGGTGGGCTTAGTATAGGGGATCTACAGCAGCGGAATAATAGCCTCCTTCTAAAGTAGCTTTGGAGATTCACTCAAGAACCACACGCCTTATGGAGGAGAGTGATAGTCAGTATTTATGGTGAGGACAAATACGGATGGGGTACTCTCCCTCCCAAAGGTAGTGCTAGAGGCAGACCGTGGTATGAGATCGCCAAAAATAGTACCTTCTTCTTCAAGTTTCTGAAGTTCAAAGTGCAAAACGGGATTCGTATTAAATTCTGGTTGGACACATGGGTTGAAGAAAGGC